CCATTCCATACGAAATTGGAGATTGCCTTTTCCATCTCTTGTTCATTGGGTAACTATGAGTCGTGCTTGACTCGACAGCAATCAACTACAACAAAAGTCTCTTTGGGTTGCCATCCAAGTACACTGCCATTTGCACCACCCCACGATGCCCTAAGCAACCATAAAGCTGTTTTCCCCCTTGTCTCTTAAAGGGGTATTTTCCCTGCTAGGCTTTTGGTCCAATTTAGTGGCATGAAGCCCTTTACTGGATAATGAGCACTGCACTGGAATAAGTGAAGGGAAGGGCAATCTGAAAGGAATGGACAATCAGACCTTATTTATATGTATGACACTTACCGATCTATAAGAGGATGTGCATTACAAAGTGAATTGAGGCTGGAGGAGGGAGGAAATGTGTATGAATGAATGGAAACCATCTTTGTTATCTTTCACTAAAATTAAAAGGAGAAAGGTACTGATTATTAGTCTGCATTTCCAAGTTTCTGAGACCTCCTCAGGATTTTCCAAGTTTTCAAAAATTAAAAGGAGAAACTTATCTTTTTATTTTTTAATGTATGTGTAAAACATGGTAAGCTGTCATTATTACTATCTAGAGGTAACAGGAAAATAGTTGGAAGGCATTGGACAGTTTTGACTTGGTGCTGAGATACCCTACCTTATCTCAGAAGTGGAAAGAAGCATTAGGGGTCCCAGGTGGGCGCGAGACACTGACCTGGGCGATGTTTGCTCCCGAGAACACCTGCCCTCAGGGAGAGGGCTGGCACAGCTGTTCTTCCTGCTAGGCAGACCTCGTCTAACTCGGCAATCTCTTCTCCCCTGACAGATGGCGAACTCTCCATATCCAATGATGACGACTCTCTGGAAAATGGGCAGTCCCTGAGCTCCAGTCAGCTGTCTCTGCCTGCACTGTCCGAAATGGATCCTGTCCCGATGCCCAGGGATCCCTGCTCGTATGAGGTGCTCCAGCCTGCAGACATCATGGACGGGACAGGTAATGCCCCAACAGAGCCGGGTGGGTCCCCAGGAGGTGCCATGGAGGGCCTTCCACCTGAGGGCTTGGGATTGGGTCTGTTTGGGGACCATCCTAAACCTCCGGCTCTGGAAGCAGGCATCCAGCTGTAACCCACTAGAGCTGATCGTAAGGCTTAAGGAGGTTAAATGCCTTTTCAATTTCAATTTCCTCACATGGGGGATATATACATATTTTTGTTATACAGTTGTGTTGTTGTTATTGTTTTAATTTGTTTACTTTGATCTCTTCAAAGAAGATGAACCTTGTTTGTAATGTTGTTGTTGAACAAAAGGCCCAAAGCCTTTCTATAACTATCATAATTTATCAAAGTTCATAGAGTTTCCAGATCATTCAAGTGCTTTAATATATCTTCTAATAGTCATTTTAGGTAAGATATGACTTAGATCATTTTGCACTGGTATATGGTACCTGTCCAGTTCATTTCTTAGAATGGCCGCTTAATCCCGGCCCTCCAGTCTCACTTTGCTGTCTGTCAGTTCTTTTTCTGTGTCACCTGACTGGCCTGAAGCCATCTGAGTGGCCAGCAGACATTCTGATCAGGTGTGTAGGGTTTAACTTATTAGCCAAAAGATGGGTCCCGCACCACAGCCAGTGAGAAATGGGGGTAACTGTTAGGAGATGGTGGGTCCTGCAAAGGGCCCTTTTTACCTGGTGTGTGGGTAGGAAAACCATGTCCTTTCCCCAACCCTGTACTGGATCCACGTCAGCAGGAGCTCATGTAGGAGGAAGGAGATGGGTGTTTCCCAGAATTAATTCTGAGGCTTCACTTTGGGGCTCTGTGAGTCACTGCTCCATCAGGGTGTTGAGCCCTGATAATAATAGTGTCCCTTGAGAGGGGGAAGGATTTAGCACTCATGAGGATTATTTGCTGCTGCCAAGAGCCGAGTTACCCAGACTAGGGAGGATGAGAGGGAGGAGAGGTAAGAGTACTTAAAGGCATTCATTCTTCTCATGAGAAAGACAGAAAAGTGTTCAGTGCATTTTTCTCCTTTAGGGCAGTTTTTCAACTAAAGCACCAACTTTTTTTTTTTTTTTAATTCACGCTGCTTTGTGACAGTGCAGTGTGAGGAATTTGACTGTTGTAGTAAGAGCTGCCAGGCCAGTGATATCAGAGACTTCCAGGCTGTTATCAGGCCCGCTTGTAAGGGAGTGCTGTCTCCCCATGACATCTCTTGCTGGAACCAGAAGGGATAACTGCTGGGGAAAGAAAAAGAGTGGTCTAAGTGCAGATCAAAGAGAAATAGAGACAACCCAGACAGGAAAACCACAGTTCCAGAGAGGTAGGGCCAAGAGGGGAGGGGAAGATGAAAGGTATTGATTGGAAGCATCCTTTACCTTTTCAAGCTTCTGTAGAATCTGGGAGGGGCCTGGTGACACCCTTAAAAGTGCTCATTCCTGGCTTAAAGGCTGTTGAGCACACCACCCTCCCAAGGCTTATCACATGTATTTGTGCCTGTCAAGTTCCTAGACAGTCATCATGACAGAGTTCCAGAACCACAGAGCAGGACAGAATGAGACATGATGGACGAGCACCAGGCTCCCAAATCCACTCCCTTCTCTCCAGAGCAGAGGGCAGACAGAGACCTAAATGAAAGTGCAGCATCTGGTTCTGATTTCATTTACGAGGGCTCTTCGTCCCTGATCTACTGCACTCACATCCTGTTACTCCTTGCTAGAGTCATGAGTGATATATATTAACAAAGGCCAAGCTTGACCTTGTAACACTTTTGATTTTTTTGAGCAAGGGTCCTCTTCGTCTTCTCTCTCTGCTCTTTCTGCTTCTCTCACTTCCTCTCCGCTGCCACCACCTCCCTCTCCGTCTCTTTTGGATTTCTGGTGTCCACTCTCGCTTTGCACACGTGTGAGAGCTGTGGTAGGTGCTGCCAATGGCGCTGCAAGCCAGTGTCCCTGTTCTTTGTTGCTGTCCCGGCCTGCTCGCCACTGCACTGCTGTTTGTGTAATGTCTCCTGTGTGTCCTGTCATTGTGCCCTCAGTGTCTGAAGACAGTCCCTCTGCCGGGGAGTCTGGAGTCCTCCTGTCCCAAGATCCTTCAGCCAAACCAGTCCTGCTACTGCCCCCCAAAAAACCTGCTGCTTTCCCTGGAGACCATGAGGACACCCCAGTGAAGCAGCTGCCCCTTCTCAAGCAACCCCCCGCCCTGCCTCCCAAACCCATTGCCAGGATTGCCAACCACTTAACAGGTGAGTCAAAGTCTGAGGGAACGGGGCCCCCTTCCCTTCAAGGGATGATGCCTGCTTTTCTTATATCTATCTGAATGTGCCTCTCCTGTGAAGTTGCTCTCTGGAATGTTGGGGTGTTTGTGTGTGTGTCTTGGTATACATTTGTGGTGTGGGTTGTGTGGATTGTGTCGTTCTAGAAGCATGTGGTGTGCATTTGGTAGTCCTCTGTTAAGAGCCTTCAGTCCTGTGTGTCTCTAACTATGTGCATTTCTATTTACGTGACTAATTGAACATGATTTGCTTGTCTGGGTAAATCTTAATCTCACTTTGTAATCTTTGCAGAGATGACGAGTACTATCTTGTGTCCTCCAATATTAGTTTGTCCAGGCTTCTCATTTCTTTTCTTTCAGTGATTAATCTAAAGCCAATATATTTCTTTATTAAAATCCATTTAGGAGGCTATTTGTTTCTTTTAAAAACTACAAGCAAAAACAGATATCTGCAAATTGTAGGATTAAAAAAAAAGTAGATTCAAGGACATTGACCTAATGTTATTTCTGTTGTCTGTTTTCTGGTTTTATTTATTTTATTTTATTTTTT